GTACACCGTACATAAACTAAATTATTTCCAATTTTCTTGTACAAATAAAGTGGGCCAAATGATGTCAAATATCGTATGGCAGAAAGAACAATACAAATGTTAATCTTGGTCATCATTATTAATTTCATTATAAGACTGTTTACTGCTGTTATTATCAATTATAATACATGTATCTGTAATTATCAATATACAATCTTATCAGATTTATAAACTTCAAAGCATATGTAACTACCAATTACAGATCACCCAGTAACTATTTAGATAATAAAGTTAATATACAGAACTACATTTACAGATAAGCACAAGGAAATAGCTGGATAAACATGTTTATTTTATCTTTACCGGTATATAACCTCGAGATATGTTTAAAAAGCCAACATTATAGTTCTGAAAAATAAATCTGTAGAGGGGCAGGTAAAAAATCCTTAAAAGATTTTAAAATATTCATCTCTGTTTTCTATCAACAAATTCTGAATTCTACTCAAAAACATGTGAAATTCTATTTTAGAAAAATTATTCGTTAAATTCCTGACCATAAATCATTCTGTTGTACTGTATTTATCATGCTTTTGATTAACAAAACATCGCAAAAAGCTGCACCTATTTTTGTGGACTCTATATTCATTTCCTTTTTCTTTGAACAAATGAATACAGCAAGTCAGTGTTTGTACTGCATGATGAAACAGCCAAATTCCTGAAGTAAAAGAGGAAGTTCAATCAATCGATCTGACCCTGATCAATATAACACCTTCGGCTACACAGCTCTCATAGAATACAAATATTCAATCATGTCCATACAAAAAACTGCCACAAGCACAGCAAGAGCTATCCACTTCAATACATATTTCATTCTGTATTGCTTCTTCTCTGCTCCTCAACTCATTGGATTCACCACTACATTAATGCTCGCCATTTAACATTTCGCTTGTTACAGAATCTTAAGAGCTTTGCTATTTTCGGGGTGTGTAGTATTATAAAAGTAATTGATTATTGAATGGACGGCTTATGTTGAGAATATAATTTCACAAAAGAACTTGAAGAGTGAATCGACAAAAATGTCATATTTAGATTTAATCCATCAAATTTATTTCAGGAATATCATCAAAAGATATTCTTATTAAGCTGTTTTTATTGGAATTTTATTCATAAGTAAGTACATACTAGAAATTGACCTGCACTAACAGCATTTTTTATTCATTATGATCTATAAGCTTAGTTCACTTCTTATCTTTAATCTGATGAAAGATGATTATAAGATATTAAATTAAATTAGAAAGTCTGTTGCGTAAATAACGAATGGATGTGGGTGTTTATAAATCAAACTTTCCGATAATTGATTTCGGAATAGACAAAGACAGGTTTAGCCATGAATGGAAGATGAGGAAAATATCTGTTTACAGGCAAGGAGTCTAACTGGAGTACATCATACATTATCAGGAGTAATGTTTTGTTTCTATCTCTTGATGAAAATATAATGCACATGATATCTATATACCATATAATTAATATAGAACTGAGTCCACCTCCCTGTGGAATATTCATATGTTTATATTTTACCTCTAGAATTAAAGATGAAATGTCAAGAAGGTGAGTTTTATTTCCCATGATATTGCCTGTATTTCTTACACAAATGAACCTGATAGAATATAAGAGATTCCACACCTATTAATGACAGGATCATTTTTCATACTCTGGTACACACTGATCAGCAGTGAATTTTCGTTACGCCGCTAGAATCACTGATAAGTCCCAAATATTAACTTTTTTCTTCCGTCAATTTAAATTCTAAAACATTTTTTTTCATTTATTAGACAAATAAATAAAGACGTTTGAATTGTTTTTAGGTAAAAATCATTTCCTATTTAGTGTAAATGGGTATTAAAATAAATAAAATTCACCATTTAGCCCGAATCAGTAACGTCTTATGTAAACAATGCACACGCAATTGAGCCAATGGGTGACGCCGCGTGATGTGATGTCACATGTCGAAACAGTCATCTGTAAAAGAGATATTAAAAGATGTCTCTATATTCCATACAAACTAAATGAATTCGGTGTTCATTACTTTGAATAAAAGCACCCATACCATAACCCAATAAACCAAGCATAATATATATTACAGTGTGTGTCACCTTTCCTGCCACTTCATCATATCAATAATCAATGGAATTTAACAATTATCTGACGTCAATATTCTGAGACTACTGGCTACTAAGTTATGACTTTAATCTTAAAAGCATCTTAATTGATGCCCAAGGAATTCCTTTCATTGAAGGGTCATTTCACTTATTTGTAGGAAGTAGACAGGATCTGACCATTGGTATAGACTGAAGACAAAACCAATCTCAAAATTAAATAAGAGGCCACTAAATGAATGAAAGGGGATTACCATGTATCCTTAAAGCTCTCTTAGAAACCTCACAGATTTAATTACATGAAGAATAAACACATGAATTCTTTATAAGGAGTTATCATAATTGAAGGCCATCTCTTGAAACAGCATGGTAATAGACGTGCTTCGAAGACAACATAACGTCTATAAAATTCTTCTCCATTCATTTACCACAGTCTTTTGACCTGAGGTCACTTTGTCTCAACCATGGAACTAAAAAATTCACTCCATTAAACAGGAAAACCATTAAAACAGCATGATTCTGAGACCAGTGAAGGCCATTACAGAGCTAAACTACAAACTTCCAGAAGACACAGCAGAATATTATCTCTTGACCACAGGCAAGTCATTTTACTGAATGAATGAAGGTTACAAATGAAATGGAAATCTAATAAATGTCTCCGCTGAATGTTTTTGGTATTGGTCAATTACGTCTGTAAGCCTACTGGTGCTCGTTTACATAGATCATTACTGCAAGTTTTCACAAAATTTACATCTTGGAGTTCATTTGGAGGGCACTGCACATATCACCATATGGTCTGCAGGCATTATCTAAATTACTAGAATCTTTAAATTCTACTTGTACAGCATTAAAGAGTAGCAAATTATAGAAAGTATAAATTAACATTAATAGGTTGACATGTCAACTTATTGACATTGCTCTTATAAAACAGATTAAAATACAGATGTGACGTCAATCTTTGATGTTGGAGTACCATTATTTCAAATAATCGTACGGGCAATGTGCCAAGCGTAACTTCGTAAAATATTGAACTCGAGTGACGTATTTCATTGCAAAGCATGTGCAAGTGTCTGTCTTTTAAGTTGTTTAATGGTCTCGAGCTTAAGACATTGCGTAATATATTGTAAAAACATTCGGGCCTCACGGCCCTCATGTTGTTACAATATATTACTTAATGTCTCGCTCTCGACCATTAAACAATACATAATGGATAGCCTTTGCATATCATAAACTGTCTAAGGTAAAAAGGTTTTTTTCTTTCATCAGTGTTATAGAGGTTATTATTGAATAATGCATCTTAAAATTTGTCTGGGTTTTATTTCAATAATATTTTGAATAGTTGTCATGTTTTATATACACGTAACCCTGGGTATTTTGAAATTGAATGTATCTGTGCACACTGTTGCCTATCACAACATGTTTATTCAGTGATCACTCTTATTCAATATGCACACATCTTTTATTCATTGGTTAATAGAGGATTGTCACCATGTGACCCTTTACTCTTTATTAACAAAATAATCTCCTACATACACACTTTTCTTATTCCAATTCAATTTGCTATATCTATATTCAATTTGAATACTTATCTAAGTTTCTTTTAACAATGTTAAGTACACAAAACACATTGACCCTAGTACACCAAACTTTTCAAATTCAAACAGTCATGTAGACATAATTAATTTAAATTCACCTGTCATACATGTATGTCAATATTCTTCCTACACAATATTTGGCTTTTATATGACTAAACTAATAAAATACTGAAAAGATTGTATTTTTTTTGTTGAATGACTTGACAGCTTAAATCTGAGAGCTCTTAACTGTGCACAAGTTGAAATTGTGTACTATGCCAATAAGATGTAGGCGTAGTGTTCCGAGTTCAGCATTCCATCCAGATATGGGATAGGTGCTCAAATCTTCTCTCCTTGCTTTGTGTACACAGTGTTAATTTGTAAAAATTTAGATGTATGACGTAATGTGTTTTATTATCAGTACAAGTGTGTCCACAATGTTGCATATGTTTGTGTAATAAGTATATTTAGGTGAGGTAAGGTGTGGTAGATTTGTAAGAACTTCTTATGCACTAGTGATAATCTTTGTGTAATATAATAATTTGGTTATGCAAATCAAAAAAATAGTATATTATCAAATATAGTTATTTGTTATACTAGTTACATGTACATGCATAAACATATATTATGCAAGAGCTAAATCTCCCCATTGCAGGTCTTTCTTTAGGCCTGAAATGTTATCTAAATTATTAATTAGACATTAATTAACTTATACAGACCATAATTAACTCTCAATGTCATAGCTAGCCTGCGATGTTTATTGGATTAGGTTCCGATTTGCTGTTCGGCTTCTATTCATGATTTAATTATGAAATGGATAATAGTTAGTGTTAGTTGTATTTTACGTCCGCTTCCACCGAGGTGATATCGCAGACAATGATTAATCGAGACTATGTTTTTTTATTGTACCGGACTTTAGTAGTGAAGATCGAGGCTAGGCCGAAAATTCAATCACTAAAATCTTAGTTCAGAGTGGATCAATTGGACTGAAATTTTCAGCAAATTTCCTTTACATTATCTAGTTATTAACTATTATAGTGAGAACTGCCAGCTTTTAATCTAATCTCCCATAATGTATCTTTAAAATATGCAATATCATCTAGATATCTAGTTTTATTTATTCCATTCAAAATAGACTCACTAGGCTGATACAGATTTTGAAAAGATAACAATTTTTTATTTCACTGATGTACATGTATGTCAAGAAACCTTTACATAGGATTTGTCTTCAGTAAAGTTGTATCTTTTATTGAAGGAGTGTATAGTGGGCTACATTATTTTCAATACGAACCTTTCTTCATTTTTTTCTGTAATCTCATTGTATCTGATGCAGCTTTCTTTATTTCATGTTTAGCTTTTTTGTACTCTGAAGTAAAGAAAATAGGTATCTTATATACATGTAGCATAACTTCTTATAGATTAGATGTAGAAGAATTTGAAATATGATATTTAAACCACAGGTATTAAATGTCACAGACAATGAGGTGTAAAAAAAAATAAAAATCCTTTCTAGGGTCTCGTTTACACATTAACAACTAATATTTGTCAAACACATTAGATTTCAATTCAACCTAGATGTAATTCAGTATTTCATAATTATGAAAAGGTTTAAATAACCAAGGTAACTTTCTTTTCTTTACACTGAAACCTTTTTTGAATCTAGGCAGTATATCTTCATTTGTATCGATCTGAATTCCACAGCACATTGCAAATAACAAACTTATCTGACAAGATTTCTTCCAGAACATATTTAATTTCATTTTGTTAATATCAAATACATGTAGGATTTGAATTAATTTGTGTAAATAATTGAACTATTTTGAAACCAAATATTTCTGAGGATCCAGGTTACGAGAATAACAATTCCAATCAGCAGAATATTGCCATTATATTACAATATTAGACTATGGGAGAAAATGTATGAGTGTATGCAACATTTTGTCAAAATGATTGCCTTTTCCCAACACAACACAAACCTTTTGCATGATCTTTATCTAACTGTACAACTACTTTTTTCCAATCTTCTAATTTTTCTTGTAATGGCATAACCATACCATCCATAACAGAACTATAAGACAATAACATAAAACAATAATAGTGATAATGTTTACTGTAACAGAACTATGGTGTTAAAGTGGAAAATGAACTATGCAAGATGAAATAATATGTAGTCACCAATCATTTATCATAATAACTGTATACCAGTATAACAATTTAAGCGTTGGTACTAGCATTATTCTTGAATAATAGCCATTGTTTATCTCTTATTATCATCAATGACTGTATAATAACATTATTTGGGTTGAAAACTAATTAAGAAATCTGTAACAATATCTGAGAATGTGGAGGTTTGTTATCCAATAAATTTGTAGACGGCCAAAATATAGTATTTGTTCAGGGGCGGATCCAGGAATTTTGAAGAATGGGGTTTGCCAGGTTCTAGAGACAACACCTTTTTTTTTTTGGGGGGGGGGGGCTTGAAAGTTTTTGAGAAATACATGGTTTCTATCATCATTTGTTTTTGGATGAACCCTCCTATAATGTCATCAATATCTAGCTCGAAAGTACAGTTAACATCCATTAGGACTAAACTTGTCAGATGACTATCCGTCATAGTAGAACCATCTGATACAGGATAAAGTACACGATCATGACACTTTCTCATAAAAAGTGTTGTTTTACATTTTTTTTTTGATGGAATAAAGGTTCAAAGGCTGGATGTGGTTTGCTTTTATCAATTAATAACAATGTTATGAGATACAATTTGTGCAACAGACTTGCCCCAAAGCTCTATGAAACCAAAATTAAATTTGTCTATTGTGAGAGACATACTGAGACTTACAGAATATGATATGATACACCTGACAAAATTTCATATTGCTACATAAGAGTATTATGTAATTTGGTAGATTAAAAGTAATATGTGTTCAGGGAATTCTATATTAATTATATGAATACCATATCCAAAATCATGATCTTTTATTTCAGATGGGTTAGATACATGTATTTGTTGAAATTGCATGTATACAGAATTTGGTTGTTTTCTTTATGTGCACCAGGATTTTATACATTTATACATTATAAGAGATCAAAGAAATTGTATTTCTATAAGGTGTTATAGTCACTTTAAACATTTTGCTATTTTTTCTTTAACAGGTTGCACCCATTTTATATTGATATTTACATGTTAGTAATCAAATAATGTTATTACGTAATGCCAAAACTTAAATGTTTTTGGTGTAAGTTTACAAGGAAATGAATATCCGTAGTTTCAAGTATTTTAGTGATATAATTACTATAGTTACAAGGAACAAACCTTGTGAGCGTTTTTAGTTTGCTCTCTATACTTCTGTGTCGCATACATAATCTGGTTAAAGCACTTCCCACTTCTTTTGTTGCACCTGTAAATAAACATATATATATGGTCAGCTGCTTGTAAACAAACATGTTTGGCATTATCATAAAACGTTTTTAATGCACGTAAAATTACAATAATGAAAACCAGTTTTGGGAGTTTAAAAGTTTAAAAGTGGGTGTGTGTATAGATTCAGACCTCTTCCAAAAACCTACGCATTTTTGAGAGAGAGAGAGAGAGAGAGAGAGAGAGATGGGGTTAAACGTCCACTCGACAAAAACTAGGTCATTTCGGGACTAACATATGGTTTAATTTTATTTACATAATTCGCTTGTGCGTAGGGGTCTTTAGCAGTGGGAGGAAACCGGAGGACCCGGAGAAAACCCACGAGGTTGGACAGATGACCCTACTCCTTGCCACATACAACCGGGGATTCGAAACCAACGCATTTTTGTAACGTAGAACAGAAATAACCAGTTAAATTGTGAAGGAAAAAGACATGATTTAAATTGCCCCAGGTAAGGGTGTCTTTTTATTTTCAAATTCTGAATATGAAATATTGATGAAATGATAATGAAATATTAACACTATATTTTTTTATAAAATTTGTGCTTTAGCGTGGCCATAAAATTTAATAACTGTAAGCCTAAATACCACTGAGTTAGTGACCTCAAATAAAATACTAAACAGGACACATGACAAATGTAGTGTAAAAGTCACTTATATTTTTAAAGGACAAATCCCAGATATCTTTCATTCTGTGTGAAAGTACAAACTAGATGAGCAAACCCGACTCAAAATAGGTCATTTTGGGACTAACATATGGTACAATTTCATTGCAATGATTCACTTGCGAAGCGGGATCTGTAGCAGTGTGTGGAAACCGGAGGACCCGGAGAAAACCCATGTACAAGTGTAGTCGAAACCACACCACTTGACTCAATGAAAGATCTTATGATCTAAAATGAACATGTTAGTAGACCACCAGATCACCCCACACACTCTTTGGCAATCATTTCCATATGACTAAGTATTTGGAGATAAAACCTTCGGACAATGAAAATTGTAAATTGGCCATTTTGTTTACATTTTAAAGTTCGATTTCCATACTTAAACCCACATATATACTTGTTTTATTGGATATTTTGTGAAATCTGGGACTGCCCCTTTAAATATGAAATATTTGATTTATTCAAAATATTTGAAGGGTGGATGCAAAATTTACATGCAACTTAATTCTAAACAAGGTCAAGACATATAATTATGTGTGGATCTTATTCAAATTTCAATTACATACATCCTTCCTTTTCTAAATAATGGCCTGCTGCATTAAATTACATCAATTTGAGGCTCAACTGGCACCATATTGATTAAGCTCTCCATTGTTTGTCAACAGATTGACCTTGAATTTAGAAAGGGTGTGGTACATTTCAGGAAAAAGATATAGAATTATCATTGTACAGATGATCAATGTTTTTATAATGCCTACAATTTAAAGCTTTAGAGGCCATTGATATGCATAACCAATAACATTATTATTATCCCACTAAATTGACTGCATAATTTATAAGTTCAAAACCAGTTTCAGACAGGTCAATACAATTTATAATATATTTTAATCTACATGTATGTACATGTATAGTTCTATACAATCTACATTATGGGGAAAACAACTTTCAATGTAATGGACAATGGTTAATTAATTACATTAGAAAGTAATGGTATGTAACAAATTTAATGTACGTTTGCAATGTAATGTTCCAAGTCAAGGATTCCAAGCCTGGAAATGAGGCACCTGTCACAGACTGTCAGGTACAAATTCAGGCTTTGTCAAGCAAAATTCCCCTGATGCCCATTACATGTAGTTTGTACAGCAGGGGTTTGTCTTACATGTATATCAGTGTTTTGAATAAAGGGTACAGGTACTAGTTCATTAGTGCCTGTCATTTTGTCAGGTACAGGTAAAATAATTAATTCCAGGTCAGATACAAATCTGTTACTTTGTCCATTCATTAATATGGCAAATTGATTTAAGTCTGTTGCTTGTGACATTTTCTGAAGACATACTGTTACAAAATGAGAACATGGTCCAGAGTGGATTATTTTTAGTGCATAGTTAATAGAACTTTTATTTCCACTACATCAATTCTATATTTATATTTCAGATAGAGCTTGAGTGCCCCTGGCTATTAATAAACAATTGTTGATACAATGTATATAAATGTGAAGTTTATGATATAAAATATAAGTATTGAAATAAACAATATGGTTGCCTGTCAATCATTGAGTATGTTTTAAAGCATTTGTTATCATAAACAGAGTTTAGTGGAGTGTACAACATTTCATCTCAAGTCGTATATCCTGTAGAGAAAGCACTAAAATAATCTCTAAGTAGTTAGACTGTGACTCTTGACCAGGTCAACCAGTTATAAACTATATATCATACATATATATTCTAATTAAATACATACTCGGGTATGTTTGTTTATATTGGTAGTGATTGACAGGAAATAGACAGAGCTATATTAGATAGACATGGGATGAAATATCTACTTTTCCTGTATATTTTTAACTTAATGTCAATCTGTTTTCTTCATTAGTGCACTGTTAATGTGTTCTCAAGTAGACCCATATATTATTTTTGTGGGTTCAAAAGGGGGTTTGCATTTTTAAGTCTTTTAAAATAAAAAATTATGAACAGAAGAATAACAAGCACTAGAAATGCAAAGTAAACAATATGAAACCATTTATCCAAGAAGAAAGTTGTATTATCTGATTCTGTGAAGTTCACACTATCGCACAAGTAGCCTACTGATAACAAAGGATTACTACAGTAGTCAATAATCAATTACACAGACTTATAAATGTATTTTCTTATCATCTCTTAACATGTAACTGTGGTAACTTATCGTTTAATTAATTGGTATGTTCTCTGACCAATGTGATAACCCAAGATTTTTTAATACTTTTCACATGCAGGTTCTAAGCGGTGTGTTTGCACTGACTGACTGGCCCTACCTCTTTCTGTTAATATTTAATCAATTAAATCAATAATAATACGGAATTAAAGACGGAAATTACATCCATATGTTTTAACTTTCTACAAAATCTAGGTAATGCTTTACAGCTAAACCAAAATATTATTGCTTCACGCCACCATTTTGTTCAAAGAACAATTTGCTCTACAAATCATTGCTGTTGGTCTTAGTAATATATTTCACACTGAAAACAAGCCAAGTTGAAGATGAAACATATCTTGTACCTTGGCAATATGTAAAACCTTGGTATCTGGAATAATCTGTATAGCGATAGTATGAATACCATACAGGTAGAGATAGATGTGATACACAGAATCTAGCCATTTGTCTGTAGGTATGGTATGTCAGATCTCCTCTCAGAAAAGGAACTCAATCAGAGCAATAAACTATTCCTTTACTTTCATTCCTCTTAAATTTTGGGGTACAAAATATAACAACCTTCTTGACAGAAACTGCACACTCAAACTCCATCTTGCCAAAATTTATCCTCTTCTTTAGGCAGTACCAATTTGAATCTTAGTTCTTTGGGAACAACTATTGAATTTTGCTTCCTATTTTTGGGAAAATATATGATTTTCAGTTTGGAAATCTAACAAAAGCCACCATCTCTATGAAGCTAGTTATCAATTTTCGAAGAATTAAAAATCAAACGGGTTTGGATTTATAACTTTTATTGAAAACTGAAGCTTTATTTAGACTAAATATACATTACATACAATGTACATTTCAGTTATGGTGATTATACAACAATACATGTCTGTGTCCTAAATTTCAACAAAAATCAATTTGGCACTGAACACAGAGTAAGCTATGTGTACATTGTATATAAGAATAAGATTCTATTTTCATTGAACTTCAAATAAACAATTATTGTACTGCCTGAACTTAACATCTGTACAGCAACTAATTCTTATTCATTACTGTACATACATGTACAATTACTTTTGTGAACTTCAAATAAATATTTTGACTTTCAAGTTGAAAGTTTATTTGAGTTGGTTACTGTGAGAGATAAATGAAACTTTTAAATCAAAATTAACTTGTGAAGAACAAAAATAGTTAACCTGGTTATAAGTTTGTTTGCAAGGTCAAGCTGTTCTTGTACAAGTTTAAAGTAGTGTAGTAAGTGCCATGCACAGGGTAGGGTTAAAATAGTTAACATCACATCTGACTATATTCTAGTAACAGAGACATTTAGTGATAAATAATTTAGAAAAAAAATTCCATTTTGATATTTCACAATATGTAGATCATATTTTAATGTCATTAAAAAAAGATCATACATTTGTAATACAATGCAAGCACTTCCAACATATTTGCCTGCTGTCCAAAAATAGATCTGAAAGCAGATAAGGCTATCAAAATTTATATTCTCCAGACAACATGGATAAAAAGCTTTTTCTGATTTAATTCACAACTGTTTAATCTGATTAACTGTTGTAATTATTATTCAGGTACATGCCTTGATGTTTATACACAAACAGTTCTTAACAGCTTATATACCATTGTACATATACCATGCTGTGGGTCATACAACTAATTCCTATGCCATTTTATCACACAGATCTATATAAAGCATTTTCTGCCTTACATGTACTTCTGTTTATTCTCTGGACAGATTTACAAGCTTTGATAGTATTATGTTTTTATACATTTCTTAATAAGCTTGCATTTAATATTGTTTTTTTATATATACTGTACATGTACATGTATATTTTAATACAAGGAGATATGTGTTATTGTAAAAACAGTCATTCACTGTCTGACTATGAATGTAAAGTTAATATTAAGAAAAGAATATAATACATAGTGTGTTCTTGGTTAGTATCCATTAAACATTATTTACCATACAAAACAGCTGAACAAACATAACACATAAATATATATATTTTATACATGAATAAATAAAAAATATGTCCAGGTAAAAAATTCTCCACTTTACTTCATTCTGACATACATTACATCATATAAGCTAGCTGTTTGCCCTCTATAGGTGTCTTCAGATATT